TAATAAAGAATATATGTTACTGTGATTATGTGCAAATAATTTTCTACCATAAAAATTGCAGCTCTGGTTGCATGCAGTAAACATAACTTTGAGTCTGCAGCATGTTTCAGAATTAAGTAAGTATATAAGATATGCCCTGCCTCTTGTGGAGGGTTTATTACTCTGTTCACAAAAACCTACCATCGATCACTATCATGGCTCAAATTAATCCAGTCTACACCCTCATATCCTAAGATTTATTTTAATATTAATCACCCATCTATGCCTAGGTCTCCCAAATGGCGTCTTCCCTACAGATTTAACGATCATATTGTGTGTATTTCTGATCTCTCCCAAGCATTCCACGTTCTCTTATAATCGCAACCTTCCCAATTTCATTACTGGTAAGAGAACATATTTACATATAAAACCAACCCTTGTGTAGTATGGTAGATGTTTACCATCGTTTCAGAGGTCATACTGCCTCCGTCATCAGGGCGATGAATATTATCGCCCTGATGACGGAGGCAGTATATATGAAGTGAAATGTAATATTTGAAGCCTGATGGTGCGAAGGTGTGTAAAAATATTTGAAACTGTTCTTTTAGCTCTGTCCAAACCTTGTCATAAACCTGAAAACTTCGACCATATAACCAATATGGACTTGAGATTTTATCCCAAATTTAGGAGATTTGAATAAATTTAGACGATGGACGAAGTTTTAAACAATATTATTTTAATTTGTTAAGAGTTACTTGAAGAATGTCTCATTTAAAATAAAACGCTGATTACAACAGCACTCGGATGATTAGTAACATCATTATAACAAGAGCAACGAATTTTTTAATTGTTTGTTACGAGGAACAGCTTTGCAGCAGATGCTAAAAATATTCACCACCTACTCGAGGACAAAGAAACATCCGAAATTTTGTTACCGGTAGGTGTATTGCTGGAACATGGCAGACTTCTTACAGACGTATTGTCAGAACGGAATGGTACGTCCTCAGAAGAAGAAGAAGAAGAAGAAGAATAAGAAGAATTATACCATTTACAGAGGGTTGCTTTGTAGTTCAGTAGAAGTTTACCAACGAGGTCCTTCTTACTTCCATTAGCAGGACGACGACAGAGATACACCTAATGGTGGGGGCAGCAAGGACCTCTTCAAAGTCTGTAATCTTCCACCATGCCACACGGTGCAAAAACCAAGAAGACAGCCATCTTAAAATAATTTCTGCTGTTTAAATTCCACGTACTTCAGCATAATTTCAAGAGAAGGCGCGATAGATTTCTCTCATTGAATTTCTCAGACCCGAAAACCCGTTTACTCTAAGCTACGTATGACGTGAGTGCACACAGAAAATCTCTGTCTTCATACAACAGCATAAAATAATGAGAACTAAAGAATGAATAATAGAAAACTGGAGGGCTGAAACGATACAATATCGAATATCGCCTTGCCACTTACCTTGTATCAACAACACTTGATGTTCCGGTTACTGAAGACACACCAAGACTGACATGCAACGCAGTGCTGGGGCAGTGGTTTATATACCGAGATGGGCACGACGGCTGTCGGCAAATAAGGGGGACGGGACAGGGGGGTTGCAAATTTCGTTCTTGTATGTCAACTAAGCTTTCAGCGTTGGTATTGGGGGGGGGGGGGGGGGCCGGGGGGGGAAATGCTAATGAAAGTATCGCGGTATTGGGAGAATCCTGTCCGAAGCGTCGCGTCCGATGCTGATTCAATTACCGAAGTCCATTTTCTGCTTGTCCCCCATGCATCCCACCCCCAGCGCGCACTTCCCCCCGAAAGGTGCACTCGGCTACAAACACTATAGACCGGCAAGAACAATACACGGTGACATGATAGGGATCGGACAGGAAAAGGTTGGCATGGAGGTAATGCTATGGACATGTGTTCAGGACAAACCCACTTTGAGCCTCGGTCGGGTTAATAACTATCTAGATTAGTGGTATTCAACCTTTTTTGTTCGCGTACCCCCAGATATAATTTTTCTTCAACTTTGTACCCCCCAAAGTTGTTGGTGTATAATTCAAGTTATACATAGTATATAATCTACATCTAAAATAAATTAAATAAATTACATTACTGATTATTCAGTGTTTATCATAAAATAATTTATATATTAAATTTCACGTAACCCATAATATGTTTTCGCGTACCCCAGGTTGAATACCACTGCTCTAGATGAGGATTTTCTTAGATTTCCTCAGTCTCTCCAGCCGAAAGCAAGGATTCTCCCTAAAAAGAAAATGTCTTTACACATTCGCCAAATCACATATAAGACTACATATCCTCTGCAGTTGGAACAGCGTCGTAAAATGCTCTAAGCAAGAATGGAATAAGTGAAGCTACAGTAGTCGGGGCGATTTTGTGCGTTCGAAGTCCATCATAATTCAAAAATAAGAGGTCAGAGTGGTAGGAGACAAGGAAGCCTATAATGTCCATACTACAAAAATTATTTTCCCGCGACAGTACGTTGTAGCTCGATGTCTCAGTTCCTGTGTCAGGAATGTTTTTGGTTTACGTAGTACATGCCTGTAAGCCAGTGACGCAGACGAAACGCGAAGTTTGGTTCCGAATACTGCACCTATTAAACGATTACCAAACAGTTCTATTTATGACCTGGCCTCAGACGGGTCCCTATTCATAATTCATTCATTGAATCTTGATCCATTAGACTAGGCATTTGGATTCGTCACAACGCTTCTGTCCACACAAGCCGATGTAGAAGAACGCAGACTTTAAATCTTGGTCCATTAGACTAGACATTTGGAGTGAAGAGAGATTCCTCACAACGCTTCTGTCTACACAAGCCGATGTAGAAGAACGCAGACTTACATCCATGCACCAAACAAGGCTCGTACCCGCGACCCCAGCGTTTGAGTCTTCCAAGACCAAATGCGAATTAGTTTGATACAATCTGTACACAGAGTCTGCATAAATAAATTGGTTTTGTGCATTTGGCATTAAGTCACTACTGTAATGCCCAGTATTAGATGAATGTTGACTTTATTACGAACTTTATTACTTTTATTAAGAGTAGGGCTGTCTCTTGATGAATATCGATCAAGAATAAATCTGTATACGTTCTGTGGTTAATGACTCATATGTTGAAGTTGTTAATATCATTACAGAAAGATTTTGAGACGAATAAAATCAGTCCCACGCATAAAAACATTTTTGATATCTGTTTTTGCCAATCCGCTTACAAAAGCCCACCATTCATTTGCATAAACCCTCTATAATTGCAACTGTTTCTTTAATAAACCACCATTACTCGGTAATAACACCATCGTTTATAGATCCGCTATCATAAGAACACTTATGCTGGACATTGCCCACTACCCGACGTTTCGAGAGGTAGATGTACTCCAGTCTTCAAATGTTTGGCTGTCATGATTGCATTTAAATGGTCCCGGGATAATTCCTGGCCGATGTCATTAATTGTAATAAACTGTGTATCATGCCAAGCAATTACCTTAAGGCGAGGAGTTCAGTCAACTCCCGAAACGTCGTGTGAGTAAAATATATCTCATGCAATGGGCATTGTCCGATACAACGTTCCTCAAATGAGGCAGTCTTCAGAGAATCAATTGTCTGAAACCGCGATGGACCTCAAATTTCACAGCGGAAAAAGGCCTAGCAGATTGCCTACACGCAGGAAACAGAAACAGAGGGCTGTTTTATTCCGGAACAGACTATTCCGCGGTGCGGTGGGGAATGAGGGATGAGGTCACCTGTGCATTGTGTATAAAAAGTTTTAACAGAATTAGAGTTCCAGCAAAACCCAAGCAAGTAATAATATTGACAATGCCGTACTGGACCCCACACTAATTGACACAAATTGGAACGGAATGACTACAAAAAGTACGTCAAAGTGGGGCAAAAATCTTGTTATACATCGAGAATCTAGTGCCAGGCTCTTTGCAGCTTCGTAGGCAAGGCGTTTTGTCTCCTGAAAAAAATTTACTTTTAACGTTTCAGAAATTGGACATGATTTTGCTAAGAAGAATGAACGCGTATTATACGTCCTTTAATCCACTTTTCTTATATCTCGAACCATTTAAATTTACCAGTATCTCAGATTATATATCGACAAATTATAGCGTGGTTAATAAATAATTAATTTTAAATAATTAATTTTATTTTCCATCACAGAACGAGGACATAGCCTAATTTAAGTTAGGCCTGCTATATCCGCATTCAGCTGAAATGACTGAGGAAAATCATGACAATCTTCAATTAAGGTATCCGGTTTGTAGGCCGAGATTTGATGTTTTTGAGTTTCTGCTGTCAAAGCGCCAATCTCGATTATTTGTCATCTGTGCTGGGATTACAAATACTAATGAAAACCCTAACAGCGAACTCTAATAAAATGTGTATGCATTATAAACAAATATTTGCCACCAAGAATCAGTGATGGATTAATAGGAGACAAAATTGATTATAATTTACCCGGAATGTAAATAGCATTCAAACACGAACACCATATAGCCTACAACGTTCAGATTTATTACTACGCACTGAAGCATTTGAAAGAAAGGTAAATTACGTAAAATAAATTTACCGTGTCGACACATTTTGACAGCAGAAACACAAAACAAATCGATTGTAATTGAATAACGTACTTACACTGAATGTTGCTTTTCGATGACGACGTCATTTGCACTTCAGAGCCACCGAGGGCAGCACCTACCAAAATATCGAAAAACAAATCGATGTTCAAAATCGAGTGGAACCTCACGACACGCGACCACAGAGCAAAGTCTCTAATAAGTGATCAATCACAACTTGATGTGCGAAATGTGTATGATAATTGGTAATAAATATAATGTCATTTGGTATCAATAGCATTTAAACCTAAAACACAGTATGTTATTGCCAATAAATCTGTTCTTTAATTTTGATAATCCGTTCTTCGCCACAGTGACACAGATAACATTAGTCAGCAATGTTTCGATAACATGGATGAAAATATGTGTTTAATATTGAATTTTTACGCAAAATTCAAATATGGCCTTGAAAATTTTCCATCACAAACCATTTTCATGTTATTTTGTATTAACGTCTACCAAATGAGTGAATTTCTTGATTCCATAGAAATATTTTTTTGCAGGTTGGCTACACTGGCAGTCTCCCATAACCTCACTTAAAGTAAGAGTTTTGGCGTTTAAGCACATGCCATTGTAATGACATTAATGGCCTTATGAAAGAAATAGGAGTTATTTATGATCCAAAAAAAGGCGACTATTTATAGATTCGTCAAAGTTTTAAGTGATTTTAAAGTCATAGCGTTGTACCTCGGTCTCCAAAGGGGATTCACTAAATACTGCTGTTTCCCCTGTATGTGGGACAGTAGAACAACAGAGAGACGCTATGAAATGAAAGACCGGAAAAGTAGAAATGAATTAATTCCAGGAAGAAATAATATCAAGTTCAAGCCTCTGGTTGACCCACAAAATGTTCTCTTACCACTTCATATTAAACTAGGACTTATCAAAAATTTTGTCAAAGAATGGACAAGGAAGGAGGTTTCAGATATCCGAGGGAAATTTTTCCGAATCTTAGTGATGCCAAGTTGAAAGAAGGAATATTTGTCAGGCTTCAGATCAGAAAAGTGCTGGACGATGGAAATTTTGAAGCCAGACTTTCTGCTAAAGAACTCGCAGTGTGTAACAACTGACCCCCACAGTATTCCATTTTGATTTAGCGGTCAAAGCAGAGTCAATATTCGACTGAAGTGAAGAACGAAGTACACGCATTGCTCTTAATATAGGGAGCTTTAGGTAAGGAAATTTTAAAGAACTTGCCTTTATCACAGGGTCATGGAAGTGAGTTCAAAGTCAGAAAATGTTTTTTACTTTTTAATGGTAAAAACACTTAAATCAACCTAGCTCACGTAATACACAAGCTACAAATACCATACAACCTACTTTAAATTTTCTTGTTAGGAATCTGAAGTAAGTTGTTCATAATGTCTACATCTTTATGCAGCAATATAAAATTACGACTGACAAAATTCTGAGTTGGATCCGATTACAAGCAGGCAAATGATCGGAAGTATCAAAATAGTTCGATGAGACTTTACGTTCTTACGGCGACTTCGGAACGTTGCACAGGAACTGACCTAAATGTCAAGCGTGCTTGCTGCCTCCATCATCAGGACGATATATTTTTGAAAATACCAGAAAATGACGTACGACGTCCGTACACCAATGGCCCACGTAGATAGGAAGTGAACACCATAGAAAGCAGTGTATTGTCTGCAGTACTCGATGGGTGCCTGCTATTGGTTTATTCAGCGATGCTGTACCAACTACACTGGTTATACTCCTCCGCAACTTAATTCCAGACCTGAAATATGCAACACTGATTATAATCTCCACTTGATGGGACACTTCAAAAGAAAATTATGTATTGGAGTACACGAAAGGAGGCATTATTTGGCAAATGTGGAAACAAAATTGGAAGGTCGTGTCTCCTTATTTAACATTAAAAAACATTTAAATTGCATTCGTTATTTCGGATCTACGTTAAATTTGTCTGGCGAATAAAATCCCTTTGTACCGAACCTCGTATAAGAAATATTTTCCAAGTTCAGTCCTTAAATAAATACTCCATAACATGAAGCTCAAATCAAACATGGCTGAATTTATCACAACATCCTTATCACAAAAGACGTTTGTGGGTTTCAAAACGGGATTTAAAGTATTGTAAAATAAACCAATTAGAATATACAAAACTCGATCGAAAATTACCATTTCAAGGAAGACTGCTCCGAGGATTTAAAGCCCTCATCTTTGAAAGCAGCATTTTTATCACCTGGAATACTCCAACCTAAACAACACTAAAAAAGGACGTAATCGACAACAGCATCGGAAAAGAGATGTATAAATAATAATTTTAAATGGAAAATTTTTAATGGAGTGTGCCGTCATTTTGACCTTGTTTCGCCAAAGAAAGATGCATTTATGGGCAGGCACCATGCAGCTTCTGCAGTTACGACTTCGGAATTAATAAATTACCACAGTAACAGCACAGCAAATTATGGAAAACTATAACACGGAAGAAGGTATCTAAGAGTGACGCAGTTGGAGGAAATTAGATTTACTCACTTCAAAGACAATATTACGTCGTAACAAGGAATAATTAACAAGTTAAATGTTTAAAATGAAGGCTGCTTCATACCTAACTAAAAAAAAAGAGAGGGCTTATTATGATTTTTGAAAAAAAGATGTCCTCCTGATCATAAAATTGTCTTGAAGAACATTAATTATGTAGACAGACTAAAAATAAAAAAGTATGAGTTGGAAATTTATAACACCAATAATATTATTGATATATAGCGATATATAATTGTACTGTTGTGCATCTTTCCTTGTTACACCCCCTCGGCACGATGAGCCACAAGGTCAATGAGGGGGGCCTGAAAAAGAAACAAAATCAAAATTAATAAATGTGAAAGAGAAACAATAGCAAAAGGTACCACGGTTGCTGACGAAAAGAATCTTGGAAGGCTGAAAACTCCGTCACATATTTCACTCCTTTGTTCACCTCCAATCGCGACACATGAAATGACTTTTCTTACTTTCAATTTCGATTAAATAAGCTGATTTATTCTGCCTGAAACAATTCAATCAAAACATTAGAATACCTCACAATTTTTGTTACGTGTTTGAGGACGTGGTTCCAAATAAATGCTGCAGAATAGGAGACATTGTTTCTCCAAGTTCTTTAATAATTTAATAGTCCTCATTTTCTAATACAGGCTGCAACTGATCCATATACCTAACAAATGGTTACCCCCCTTTGCGTAGCCTAAAAATTTTAAGTGAGGTTAGGAAAACAGTGGAAGAGTTGCAGCTTGTCAGTACCAAAGAAACAAAAAAAAAAAAAAAAAAAACAAATTGATGGCTCTCGTAGTGTTCCGTAACATGAGCAGCTGTTTCTTATCACGTTCTGTGGAAAAGTGTTACCCCCCACCCCAAAAAAAACCTAACACGAACGAAAAGACAAACGACTGCAACATGTTAGGTCCACTCCGGTCACCTCCTCCGGTTGCCAACACAAACCGGTCGAGTTCCACATCCCAGGGCAGTCAGTGTTTTGGTGTTTGTGAGTCTATTTACAATGGATCGCCTATTAATTAGTGTAATTATGTATGGGATGCTTCACTCTGTCAACTAAGGGAAGAATCGAGTACATGCACCATTTTTATGTAGACACGTCTCTTGCCCTACAAAGATGTACTGAAACACGCACCTGTATGTGATACTGGAATAACTCCTCGTCATCTGCCTCAGAGGCCGCGAGGCTTGGTCTGTGTGACGCCAGGGCAGAACGAGATATGGGCACTGCCTCAGCACTCAGGTTATTGTTCGATCCCTGAATCTGGATTTTAACAGCATCCAGATACTCGCTGGGTTCTGTTACGACATCACTGTGTTGAAATGACACAAATTTGTTCACTGCACTTTTTTCCTTTCTTTCACATCTTACACATTCTGCTAGCCTCGAAATTGTAGAGGCTATTTATCTAATTAAATTCACGATGATTATACCTTCTGAACGAAGCGCTTATCCGATTTCTTATTAAGTTGTTTCAACTTAATATTATACCAAATGCGAACATTTAAGGCCGATATATAGCGCAACTTTAGCTGTGAGAATCCGCTCAAATAACGACCGAGTTCTGTATGAAAACGTAGCCTGAATCAACAACAAAATGACTAAAATCTTCTCGAAATTGATGTGTCTCTGCGTGACCTCTCCGTGTGTGTTGTTACCCTCGGACATTGGCTGAACCACGGGTGTTAAGCTTTCTGCAGCCTGTGGACACACTACTCTACCAATGTGGCCCAGTACATTGGCACGGCACTATATCTAAATACATCTAACAACCTAACATTTCGTGTACCTAACGCTGTTTGGGTTTGGGGGGGAAAATACGCAATGACACAAGAAGCACTTCCTTAATTATGTAGTGATGTCTCTGGAAATACAGGCTGCCCGCTTAACGCTTACATACTACAAAACCCTACGACTCTAAGACAGATGCAGTTTGTGAATTTCTAAATGATTCAGCCAGCGACCCTTACTGAGTGGTAAGCAACGGGGAGACTGAAATAACCACTTAACTTTTGTCCGTGACGTTGAGTCCAGTTTGGTCCAGTCGCTCAGCAGCGGATGATTTGTAGTTACTGAAGCTTGTAGTTTTGTTGAAGCTGGTGAAAGGGGGGGTATTGATGCACATGGGGGCACTGACTAAAGCTGATTTGCACTTCACACACATTTAGCATATTTGCTACAGACCATATATGTGGAGTAGAAACTCCATTCGAAGCACTGTGAGCTTGAAGCACTTTCGGAATCGATGCACTGAATTTACTCTTAACACACTCATTGTCTCTATATTTCATACTCTGAACTGATCACTTAACTTCGATGTGTACGATAAAAATTTAAAAGGCAAAGAATAGATTTCTTTCAAAAACTACTTTTCAATCATTACATTGCCTCGACAGTGAAAACATTTCCGCTCTGAACACGTTTTTAATGAAACAATTTTCGTAACCTAACTAAATTTTATAACTCGCGATGTAAGAAATTTTATTTCGGTACGATTAACGAATTCTCGACTGGTTCACAAAGTCCTGTACAATTCATAAATCTGACACGGAATTCAAACTTTTCTCGCCAAAGTCCGTGACGTTGAGTCCAGTTTGGTCCAGTCGCTCAGCAGCGGATGATTTGTAGTTACTGAAGCTTGTAGTTTTGTTGAAGCTGGTGAAAGGGGGGGTATTGATGCACATGGGGGCACTGACTAAAGCTGATTTGCACTTCACACACATTTAGCATATTTGCTACAGACCATATATGTGGAGTAGAAACTCCATTCGAAGCACTGTGAGCTTGAAGCACTTTCGGAATCGATGCACTGAATTTACTCTTAACACACTCATTGTCTCTATATTTCATACTCTGAACTGATCACTTAACTTCGATGTGTACGATAAAAATTTAAAAGGCAAAGAATAGATTTCTTTCAAAAACTACTTTTCAATCATTACATTGCCTCGACAGTGAAAACATTTCCGCTCTGAACACGTTTTTAATGAAACAATTTTCGTAACCTAACTAAATTTTATAACTCGCGATGTAAGAAATTTTATTTCGGTACGATTAACGAATTCTCGACTGGTTCACAAAGTCCTGTACAATTCATAAATCTGACACGGAATTCAAACTTTTCTCGCCAAATTTTCTTACGCATCTATGAAACATTTTAAAGCACTAGATTTATGATTTTTTGATTATCAAATAAGCACTTTTTTGAAACGTTTTGCACTAATTAAACCAATCTCGAATAACGTGAAAGCTACATGTTCTAATATATATAAACGTCTTACTGTGTCATTGGTCGTTTGAGTACGGCGTGTTTTCTGTCTGAAATCAATATTATCAATTTCGATTGAATATTATAGAAGTACCATTTTTATTCAGCGTAAATTACTGACATACTATCGACCACCAATTCCCTACTCCATATGCTTAATATAATATTAAGGAATACCGAACTTTCGGCAAGATTTTTAAAATGTGGATTATGTTCAGACCTGGTTGTAAAGAAAACTTAACTCTCGTATATACGCGAGGTTTAAAAATGACTGCATACTCGGGACACGTCACATGTTATTTGAAACGAATGATATTTAAAATTCAGCGAAAATTTTGTAACGAATATTTCTCAATAAAATCGCCATTTCGTATTTTTGAAATTTTTGTGAAGTTGTTTCAGGCCGTAAGGCAGTTTCTTGTAAACGGTATTACCAAGTAAAATTCTGGTTAACAGTCCAGCAGTTAGTAAACTGCATTCCCATATATCAACTTCTTTTGACTGAAATTATAACTAATTACAACTAATTTGGTTTTCCTTTGAAAGTTACCCGAAGATACCAATAAACTTATAACTCCGTACATAAATTATATAATTAAGGATGGTTTAAAATATAGCATTTTTCGGTACCAAATCTTTTGCCTATGTCATAGGAAATATGAATATCCCAATTATTATCCCTTCCTTCGTGAAGGTAGAACGCAAGAATGTATTGACTGGGGTTGTATAAAAATCTAGTCACAACGTTGTCCGCTAATTTCTTTGCGTTTCCTTTATGCCCCAACTTTTGTGGAGGCCCGAGTATGAATTCGGAATATCAGAGCTATTGTGGCAATTGCTTGTGCTGTGTACCGCATCTGAGTAGTTTTTGCCGGCCATGCATTGTGTAATGGAAATTATGTCCCATTCCCAAATTCATGTAACTACCATTCAATTGTCCATTCATTCCCATTTCACCCATTCATATTTACACAAACACACAATGAGGAAGCCTAAGAATATATTAGTATATAAAATGTTAGTACCCAAACCTTGTGTCACCCTATAGATAAAGAACACAGTACAAACAAATAGCCAATTTGTTTTTCAATTAATTAATTTCCGTATATTTCTTGCAACAAATTTAAAGCAAGAGAGATTAATTACGTATGGCAAACACGACAAATTCCTGGTTTCAAATTGTAGAATACATTTGTTCTGACTAAAGCAACATTTAATTTAATAATCTCTGCAGTTTTTGTGAAGCTGAGAGTAGCGCAGAACACATTTATAAACTGTACGGTACCTTCAGTCACCGAATTCCATTCTGAGTAAGTTTAGTTCCTTTCGACACCCCATTGTACTACTACGTTTGACAAATTTCAGACTTTACCCTCACATGCAGAGGCTGGACACCATGCTTAAATTTTTGTTCAAGAATTTGAACACATTATTCGTATCCATTGCCCAAATTTAATATACTTTGGCATGTTACATTTAAATCCTTGGTCTATCGTCCTTACATTTATTACACATTTTAAAGACTATTCAGTGTAGAAGGCTTATCCAAAATGTACCTTATTTTTTCTAAAATATACGAGCCCCATTATAGAGTCTAATTTAGCAACTGCTACATAGGCACGCATTCTGCTTGGATCTGTTCTGACTCTCTGAAGGAAACGTCAAATACTCCTTAAAATGGCACGTTCTTAAATACAAACCAGCCATTTCTATTTTCTGATACAAAACGCATCACTAGTAATTTTTACCTTTTAAAATATAAAGGAATTCAAATTTTTGTGGTGAACAACTTTAGCGTTATTTTGTTTCGGGTATAATTTAAACGGGATCATCCCACACGAATTAGCTACGTTTATTTTTCTTAATAAACCTACTTAAATCTGTAAAGTTTTCGTTCAAGGTTCTGGATTTTGGATGCAATAAAACTGCATTTTACTAGTCTACGTGTCCCGAAAGCTTTTCGTTTTGCGTAGAAGCTACTGGTTTCCATCCCAGTTCTGTCAAATGTGAATCG